GCTAGCCTAATAATCGGAACAAGAGCATATGATGTAAATAAGATTTAAATCATGATTAGTAGAGGCCGGTCTTTGATCGGGCAAGCGGGGGTGCTCAATTCATGATCTTCCCCTCTCGTACCTAAGTTCCCCAGTGGAGACAATCTTGGTGATGACGGACACGTGGCCTTTGGCACGAGTCATGGGTTTCCTAAATTTGTCAAAAAATATTTAAGTAGTGACTCTATATCTGGCAAAGCAGTCCATTTTTTGGCAATTTGATTCAAAAATCGATTTTTCAAAAGATTTGTTGGATTTGGACTCTTTGGTGTTTATCTATTTCACAATGCACTTGTGAGATCAAATTCAGAACAGCGGGAGTCCGATACTATAGGGCTTATTCGTCTTCCGAAAGGGGGCACAAAAAGTCGAGCTACACATAAATGCATACATGTCATACAAACAAGTATCCACAATAAACACTTTCAATAACAAACCAAGACTTTGCAAAACACCTCCATCACGACAATAATTGTACTTTTTTCCCCACACAGAAAAATCACATTATTGAGAAAAAAATATATTTTAAAATTCATGACAATACGGTATCACCTCAAATTTTTACTCATCAAAATATTTTTATTACAGTGAGTTATAATTGTGAGTAAGAAGAAAAACAAGAAGATGGCGAAACAAAAGCTGCTGAAGATCTATTACACCATGCTCTCCATGCAAAGTTAACGAGCTAAAGTAAGAATTTTCCTATCTGTTATGAAGTTCAAGAAAAATAATGTACCCCATGCGCACATTTTGGTCAAAATGATGCCCAAATATTATCGCAGCAAGTCAACAATGCAAAAAGTAAGTATATCAAAAAAAAAAAGTTTTGATCAATTTTTGTCATATGTTGATTACTCACAAATGACATAACAAATTATGTAACTTGATAGTTTCATGAAAGTAACTCTGCAAACACTTATAAGTATGAATCTATAACTACCATGAAAACAATTATGAAATTCCTATATCGATCGAAATATTAAGTTACAATATCATTCCATTTTTTAAAAAGAAAAACTATTCTACATTTTCTACATAAATGAAAATATATTAATGATTAATTTTATATTTTTCATCATGGAAGATATTCATGGCACAGGAAACGAGACTCAACACCTCTTGATATATAAAAATATATTACATATTGATATTAATATATTCTTATACCAATAGTATACAAATAATATGCTATAGTGGGTTCAATGGATTTCTAATATAAGATGAACTATTAAACAAAATTATGTAATTGTGCAATTAGTTTCACACGTTTGATTGTATTACAGGTACAGATTATCAAAAATTAAAGGTGAAGTTGATAGAAAAAGATTTGTATAATACTATATATTTAAAGGACTTGTTTATTTTTTATTGTTTAAGATAAGATTGTGATCTCAACCATCTAGCTATAAACTAATGTTTATGTTTATAAAATTTCACATTTCTCATTTAAATTCTTCAACCAAGTATGTATTCATTTCTTGCTTAGTTGTGTTTTGGATACAGATCAATTTACTCAAACAAATCTACATGCTTTGTAAATATATATATATATATATATGTATATGTATATCATGTACTAATTTAAGAGACATGCATAATTACAGTACTAACAGTTGAGAAAAAATTACATCCTACGTGCAACGCACGTGCCTAACTACTAGTACTATAAAATATCATTTCTTATAACAAGGATGTGTACCATAATTTTCCCTTAAGTAAAAAAGAGAAACGAAAAAAAAAATTGAGAGAAATTGAAAAGAATTGAAGAAAATAAATGGCCATACGTATTTAAAAAGTATACGAATAGAAATATTTGGCATTAGGGGGCCAAGTATAATTAAACTAACTAAGTTTCATATACATAATACATATATTTATATAGTTTTGCAGCAGTTAGTAGAAAAATATATAAAATAAAATTAAATAGAAATTAAAAAAAAATCTCATTTTTTATTTTATTTTATTAAACAATAAATTACAAAACTAAAAATACAAAAATGAACTAGATTATATCATGAAACTCGCATAAACAAAATCACTAATAGAACAAATTATTAACATAGATAACTAAAGATTAGAACTCGTAAAGATAAAATAAATTTTCAAAAATTAAAGAACAAATGACAAGAAAAGAAGAAAACAGAAATCTGTGGTATACACAGTTTCCTTAAAACAGATTCGCCACCTTGCCAATGGATGCTGGAGAAACGCCGGCGTCTGTTTTCCAAAATACGACGGTTGAAACTAGCTAATGAAAAAATATCTTCTGAATAATTTCGGTGAACTTGACAATGACAACACTCTTTTTCTAATAAGAACCAAAGAAACTGTTAGCAAAAAGAAGATAGGAAAAATCTCTTTGATGTAAAAACTATCTCCAATTTTATTATCTCAAAATATCTCCATTTTTCATATTAAAAATCTCTTCAAAATCATCCTACCAATTTGGAGGGAAAATGTCTCTATTTATACAAGTAGGCGGAGTCCATAGCCATGAAGGCTTGACATCAATTGCCATTAAGCAAGGCCATCAAATGTCATCAACTCTAACTATTAGGGTTAGAGTTACAAATGTTCAAAATTCAAAAAATATTATATAGATCATAATGTGTTTATAATGCATAAGCTTTGAAAATTAAGTCAGATGGGTCACAAAATGGATACAGGTGTGGGTCACAACTCGATCCAAACCTAATTTTAAATACATGCACAAATTAAGCCCAACATAACTCAGCCCAGCCCAACCTACGCTCAAGACTAAGTCCAACTCCAAGTCCAACTCCAAGACCAAACTCAGCATATGCACAAGCACAAGCACAAGCCTAGGTCCAGTCCAAATCAAAACTAAGTCCAAATGTAAGCTTTATTGATGTCCACTTTATGTGACAATTTTCATTCACAGCTCAATGGTTTCAGCTCATTATTTTTATATTACAATCTTCTCACTTAAGAGAGTACAAGCCCACTCGAATCCACTTCAACCAATGGTTGGACCTCACTTTAATTTCGAATTAAAGTCGCCGAAAAACTATCAGTGTGTTTGGTTTCAATTTTTATAAAAATTGAGTTTTTTATTTTTCGTGTTTGTCTTTAATGAATATTTTAAAAAATTTAAGTATTTTTTTTTTTTACTTTCTTAGATGCATCTTGCTTAGATGTATCTAAAAAGTAAAATATTTATGAAAAATATTTTAAAAAATTAATAAATACACAAAAATACAAAAA